GACCGTGACAGAGAATCCAGGTACCCGTCACAGACCGTGACAGAGAATTCAGGTACCCATCACAGACCGTGGCAGAGAGTCCAGGTACTCGTCACAGACCGTGACAGAGAATTCAGGTACTCGTCACAGACCGTGACAGAGAACCCCGAGTACCCGTCACAGACCGTGACAGAGAATCCAGGTACCCGTCACAGACCGTGACAGAGAACCCCGGGTGCCCGTCACAGACCGTGACAGAGAACCCCGGGTACCCATCACAGACCGTGACAGAGAATCCAGGTACCCATCACAGACCGTGGCAGAGAACCTGGGTACCCATCACAGACCGTGGCACAGGAATTGTAGTTGTAAAGCATCAAATATACGGTCAGCTACAAATGTGTCGTAAGGGAATGGAACAAAAGGATTTCCATTTAATTAGTAACAGTAGGTCCATCGTGTTTCACATTTTTAATCCCGCAAGGGATTGCGCTAACAGCTTTTTCTATTCAAAGGCATAGAACAGCGATGGTTGAGCGGCTATGTTGTTCGACACGTAATCGCAAAATACTGTGTTCAAACCTTGATGTCACAAGCAATGAAATGACACTTCGCAAGTCACTAAAGGTCGTTTGTCTTGGATTATCTGTCCGATAGCATGCTGACTATGTTGTGACACATACCAGCTCAGTGGCTAATATGTGCTTAGTTAATGTGTACAAAGAGCTTAAGCAATTGAGCGCAAGAATTCTATTTTAGACAGGTCTTATTCCCAGAGCTACATCTAAGGTTAGTTGTAGGGAAGATATTGGACTATTGAATTTATCGGTAAGCAGCACTTCATACCACAAGTTAGCCCAAAGTTAGAGCTATTCTGCTATCCTTTCTTCAAAAAGTACGATATCCTCGACGTGTTGACAATGCGAGAGTGAACACGATAAAACTTGAAGGTTTCTTCAATATTCTGCTCTTTATGAAATATTGCTGACTGTGTACACGGATCAATGACATGAAACCGAAATAAATACAACAATGCTACGTCTTCAGTTCTGAATGCTTGACGGCTTGTTCGGCTAACGGTCAACCAGAGTGATTAAAGTAGAAGCTGAATATTTTCAGAAGCTAATAATGTCACATTATAGAGCACACCTTGCTATATTAAGAAACGTACTTCATTTTATCTTTTCTTCACACAGCTGAAAAAATGACGTACAAAACAGGCTTAGTGTGTTTTTCAAAAATTCTTACTGTTTTCGTACATACAAAGAAAATGATGGAAAAGGGTGAAAACGCAACTGAATATTAAATAGTGATATATATTCGGAGTGTACGAAGTTAGGGCTTTCTTCTCATACAACTTTCATTTGATCCACAATTGTTGGAAGAACATGGAGGTTATCTTAAAACTTGATAAATTCTAGCGTGAGTGCGTTACCAAAAAGGACTCTTAGCTCATTTCACGCCACAACCACAGAGAATTTGTCCCAACCGCTCAGGATCCTTCGTGAACTTTTCACGAGGTATCCAACGGTTGCCTTACTTTTCAGTTATTCCTTTCTGTTAACAAAAAGATTGGTAACGCACTCACGCAACCAAGATTTTAGCATATGATGTTTTTTTAACCTCATGATAGGTAATACTCAGTTTTTGCCCATGACGCAGATCCTAATGTGATCGCTATATTGATGATGATTCAGTTATTCTTCCAGTCGCAGAAAAGTAACAAAAAATTACTGTAATAATCGACTATAACAGTATTTTGTTTAAAAAGGACCTTCATAACTCGATAACGAATTGTTCCTAGAGGTTTTGCATTTCAAACATAATCAACAACTTCTAGCATTTTAAGAAATATGTTGCGTTAATAATAAAACAAACAAAATTAACTAAATATTAACTTATTGTATAATAATATTTCGTTCGAAAAGTTTTAAGGGTCGAAAAAACGGGAAAAGACACTTTTGTTACTAAGATAGAAGAATTAATTAGATCTTTAAGAATGGAAATTCCCAACAAAGTACGAGTTTATTTCGTGAATATTAAGACTATATCACGAAAATAACATAATACTTTTGAGAAAGAATTTTTGTAGTAGATAGATCCGGCTGCTCCGCGCAAAGCTGCTTTTGGCTAGGAATCTTGTCGTCTTGGGATTCACCAAAACTTTAAGAAACTGGCACTAACAGAAAGGAAGCCTCTTGTGCAAATGCTGGAGGAACATGTGGTTTCCCCTGATGAACACTACGTATAAAATCAATTGATACAAAATGTATCGAGATAGCGTCATTCCTGGGCTATCCAGATAGTCTAAATTCAAAGGCTCCTGTTCTTTTTTGCGAGAACTTTGGTTCAAAAGTAGAAAGTAAAGAGCTCGTTGTTATCTTCAGAGAAACAGTAGAATAACCTGTGAAGTTGCATCTTGTACTTTATGCATATTTCAGAAGGTCCTGAAGAACTATATGAAGGATGTACTTTTTTAACGACTGCTCCTCTAAAGCCTAGGGAGACGCAGCGAGCCATATTTGTATTTCAACGTGAAAACTCGTAGTACTTCGAAAAAGAAAGAAAACTGAGCTTTTTCTACCCTAGCAAGTATGAAAGAAAGTAGTAAGTCAACAAGAACAAATGATCAGAAAACGAAATGTGAGTGCGTTACCAAACCGTGAGTGCGTTACCCCAATATTAGTGGTATGACTTCTCAGTAACTCAACGAATTTCAAAACTAATTTTTCATATAGAGAGCCCTAACTGTCCTCTATAAATTACAATATAGCTATTGTATTTACAATTCAAGTATTCGCAGAAATTTCACACGTTCTAACAACACTCAATGAATGGAGGGCCTTTTTTGTGAGTGCGTTACCGGCATGTATTTTTAGTATTAAAGCGAAACCGTAAAATCGATTTGCATGAAACTCATACATGTTAAAGTGTTTCATAACATACATATATCCTCCAAGTTTCAAGACCCTATGCTTTGTTGTTGCTAAAAAAATCGGATCGAAAGTTGACGAACCGTGAGTGCGTTACCTACGGACAAGCCGTTGAATAACTTGACTTGTCGTACACTCATTCCGACATGTGTCAATATTTTCGAGTTCTTTGTTTAACTGGGTGAAAGATCAGTTACTTCAATCGATTTTAATTGAATTTTTCGTCAAAATTTTTTATATGAAGCATAAACTTAAAAATATATCAGTTCAAATTTTAGTAGTCTTACTCAACAGAAATCATATGGATCATTAAAAAGATATTGATACAATTTTGAAATATGTTTTACATTTAAAAATTGATCTTAATGTAGTTATTTTGATGCTATCAGATAATTTAAGACTACTCTAGTAGGAAAAATATTCTAAATTAATAGAAATAGTTTTCTTGGATGAAAGCATCAAGTGCAATGATGACAATGTTGGCACAGGATCTATTCTCCCCTTTTTTTCCTTATATTTTACTATGTAATAAAAAATCAACTCCAATGCAAATGAAATTTCGGCACTCAATTTTTACGATTTTCCTATCATTTTTGCATACAGCAACAGATTCAATTTCAGTGAACGAACTCATTTATTCTGAAGATTTTCATTTTATGAAACTTTAATTTCTGTCAAGCATCTATGGTCACTTATTCTAACAACAATCTATCACGTTTAAAGGTTTATTTATTTCTATATCATTATTCATCCTGAACATTCAATGAATGAATAACGATATTTGACTTAAAATAAATGAGAAAAGAAAAGTTTTTATTGTGGTAATCCGATCGAATCTAATTAATTGCTTTTTGTATTTTTCTTCTGGATACATATTGAATTTAATTTATTTAACTGAGTTTTGACATCGTTTATGGTCAATTGAAGACGATGATTATCGGCTTTTGCTTCATCAACAGCATCGAAAAGTATCATAAATTGTTGTTGAATTCCAGCAGGATTTTTCTTAAACATATACTCGAAGCATGCTCTCCTCGTATGATCTACGATTGGTGGTCGTCTCGATAAAGGTAATTGACATAGTTTGCAAGGAATCATTTCAAATTCACATATTTTTTCATGACGTTCAAGATCGTAATAAGATGAGATTACTCGACATCCGTTCGGAGCATATACACAACGAACTCGTAATTTTGCAAGGTTATTGATGATATAACTTGATACTGGCACTTCTTCAAAATGTTCGCAATTGTTCGTTCCATGCTGCGTAGGTTGACCACCAAAAAATGTAGTGATTTTCTTGAAAATACTGCTTGTGGGACGGCATTGTTCACAAAAAAGAGCTCCACATTTCCCACAAGAAACTGGTCTCCACAGCACATTGCGGCATTTAGAACAGAGCACAGTATCGGGCAAAGCTGAATATGAATCCTCGTCAAGAACAATTCGATTCCTATGAAGTATCTCGACTTCGATCGTAGATTGGATATAGGTTCGTTGCACTGTATTCTAATCGAGAAAGAGTTGAACATCGATCGAGCAATACTATATAAGCACTTACGTCATTATCATTTACGATGATACCACGCGATGCTAACAATGTGTTTTGATCATCTTAATAAAAAACAAACAAATCTTGATTTTGTTTGTTTTGTAAAACAAGAAGATTTTTCTACTTTCATCCGACGGAAGTATTAATGTGAATTTTTAAAAATAATAGTATGTACAACAACTAATCACTTAATGTTAATTAAAAAAAATGATTTTTTTAAAACCTTACTGTAAAGAGAATGCATTCCATTAAGAAAAATTATATTATACTTTTAGAAAACAAATGAATACAAATTTTCATTCGTCTGACTCAATGATCAATTTCATTGAGAAAAATCTTCTGATTGATCATCATATGAACAAATAGCCTAAACGTTACTGTATTTGGCAACAGCGAGTACATTAATTGGTATAAATATAAACTATTTTTAGAGGTTTATTTATTGAGACATGATCTTGAAAAATGTCTCTCAACTACGAGCGAAATTTTAATCGTTCCCAAATAGTCCTGATAAAAGTTTTTCATATCAAGAATGACTTTTTAATTTCTAGCGAGCTATTCGAACTTTGGTGTTATACTGAAGACGAGTTTATAACAAAAGTCATAATCATTTTGTTTATTGTGACAACTGTCACTTGAATAAGTTACTGTTTTGACAGATAAATTTCTTTAGCGAACTCAGCTCGTTATGAAATCTTCTGTAGGTTACTAATGCTATTTCAAATCGACTTTAACAACATACCATGCGATCAAACTATTATTCTTTTGTTTTCCTAATGAAAACTCATCATAGTTGTGTATGATTCACAACGACGAAAAACCACATGAGGATCTGCGTACTTTTTTGACACACTTGGAATACCACTCATTCGAGTTACATAATCGGGATGAATCGAATCACGAGAAAGTTTCATACTTTATCCAGCAAATATTCCAATTGAAAAATAATGCATTTATTCAAGACAAAATTTTTTGGATGTCTATAAGTGTAGCATGGGATCGATCTTCTTGATCAACTTGGGAATTCCTACATCCATAGATGAGAACTGCGTGTTCGTTTGACATAAATAAACTTTTTTCGTATATTCTAGTATTGATAAGACAATTAAATAATTTTAGATTAAAATTATTTTTTCTTATTCAGCTAATCAATGAATATGTATCATACATGCGTTTGATCGAGTTTTCATAAAGCATATTAATACCTTTTGATCTTTTTGTATCTTACTTAGTGTTTGTTGAATCTGTTGTTTAAGTTGCTGAATTTCATATTTTGATTGCTGTCGATGTTGTCGAAGTTGTTCTTTAAGACATATTACATCAGAATGTGTTTGAAGAACATCATTTTGTTTATAAACCATTTTGCAATCTGCACATGTTGTTACAGTCAACGGACATTGTGATTGATGTTCAGTAAAATCTTTTTTCAATATTTCTGCTAAACAACCAGCACATTTTAGAAGTTGATATCCACACATTATCTCGTGTTTTTCAAGTGCTTCATATGGAATAACCTAAAATGAATGGTGGATTAAAGGTTTTTTTTCTTTTCTGATGAGACAAACGAGGAAGCACTTAACTAACCTCATTGCAACCATTCGGCTGATAAATACAAATGATTTGCAATTGTACTAATCGTTTGGCAATGAATTTAGAACATGATCGTTCAATAAACTTGTCACATCGCATTGGGCATTGATTCGGATTTTTATTTAACCATTGTCTGATGCACATAGAACAGAAATGAGTTTCACATTGTTGACAAGCGACTGGTTTCCATAAAATATTTTCACATATTGTTGAACAAACAAGATCATTTAAATCGGTTGTTGTTGAGCACTGAATACGCTCAGGTGCAAGTCCAATATCATTTGTTGATGTCATCTAAAGAGCAGTGAACAATTCGATAAATTCATATATTTGTTCTCGAAAAATAAATTCCTTCCTTTGAATTCAACATTGTCAAACTAGACATTAATTTGTCAATGAGATATATCGACAAAATTAATGACAACACACTTATTGTTTGATTACAGTCAAATTCCTATTAACTTATATATTGATTTTTTTTCTGAATTTCGCTTTTCCTTATATTGAACTGTGATTGAATTCAAAAATCGTGGTCAAAAGACGGTTTATTCTCGTGTTACGGCGTTTTTCTTTGCATTAATCTAAAAGATCATTCTAAACTACGTAACACTAATGAAAGATAATTTATTACGGGCTCGAATCTTCGTCATTATCAAGATGTATAATTAACATTATAAACTGTACCATTGACAAAAGAGTAAAAAAGGAATTAAAAAAAAGAAACTATCTCTGTGATTCCTTGTCATATTTCATATCGAAAATAATATACTCAATGTATAGCATCATCCCAATCTATTCTTCGTTCTAATGCAATCGTCGTATTTTTTTATTAGAAAAATATGGATTTTAGTCAATACTATCCGAAACTATGAAATCATCTATAGAAAAAGGCTAAACCGTTCTGATTCAATGATAAAGTATGTATTTCTCTGGAATGTTAATTAGTGTTTTTTTTTGAGCTTTTAATTTCTTGCTATTGCCTTCCACTTCAACATCAGTAAAAATAAAATAATTTGAAAACCAAAAAATGAAAAAGAAACATGCACTTGCATTTCTTCTTTCACATGTTTTTATATTCTGATTGTACATAGGCATTCATCGACTTCGATAGAAAAAATGGAAAAAAAGACATATCGTCAAGGTAGCTAATGAAAAGAATGACACATTTGCTTTTACTAATAGTGTGTACTAAACACATAGAAAAGAAACATGACATTTAAATTATTCATGGTGTATCAATGTCTGTAACATCACCATCAACAACATGCGCTAAGCAAAAACGTGTGCATCCCAACAAATGCAAGCAAAAGCTTTCACATGTAAACAGAAAAGACATTTTCATAGGAAAGAAAAAAACAACAAATAGATGTCTCTACAAGCAGTAGTGCATCGCAATTTTGTCCAAACTTATTACTCTAAAGAGCAGCGTTGTTGATTGGAAGAGAATCGGCAAAGAATTGCCGATGACAGTAGCATAAACGAGCGACCTCGGAACATTTTTGCGATGAAAACATTATTATTGACGTGTTTTGGTAGTATATACAAAAAAAAAGTGAATTACAATTTTTTCTTAGACACTAACCCTAGGAGATATATTAACATTATGACGTATAGAATATAGTGGACAAAAGAAGAGAAAAAAACCGAAAAATTTACGCTTTTTACGATTTTATTCTTGTTAAATTCCAACGCTTGTTGACGAGTTTTCTCTTTGTTATTTGTTTGACTGAATGATTATGACAAGTAAAAGAGAAAAGGGACACTATTATCATACAAAGAATAGATAATTGAATTCATAATTCACCGAAACAAATGAGAAAGTTAACAAATAATACGAAGATTAACAAATAATACGAAGATTAACAAAATAGAACTGAAGTGTAAAACAAACACAAAAAAATATGCATTTCAACGTGTATGTAAACGATTCGATCATCAAAATAAACTTTTACGAACTTGAAATATTTTCTGAGAATGATGATATGACAATATCGAAATTATTCAGAACTAGAGGACTCAATATACTGAATAATTCTGAAGTAATGACAACTCATAAAACCTTATAAAACACCCTCAACTGAGATCGAACAAATAAAACTCATAAAACGCGTCTTTTCCCCTCTATTGACGGGAGGGTCATACGCTGACTGAGTTATCTTCGTTCGTTCGTTCATAAGAGCGCCGGAGGTGAACTGAGTTCATTATTTAAACTACGTGAGACAAAGTTTGACCCAAGATTTTTCGGGTCCAAGAATTCAAATCCATGATCAGTTTTTTGAAATTTTGAGTTTTCTTTTTTTTAGACAAAGAAAGAGTTTTTACGAAAACGATGATTTTTTATAAAGTTTAACCAAAGGTTTTTCGGATCAGCAAATCCGGATCCGTGATTAGTTTTTTGAAATTTTGGGTGAGGGTGAGGGTGAGGGTGTGGGTGTGGGTGTGGGTGTGGGTGTGGGTGTGGATGTGGGTGTGGATGTGGGTGTGGGTGTGAGTAACAGATAAACTATACTCGCACGCACACCCACACCCAAATGCTCGAACCTGTGAAAGTTGGCTTGATTCCCTTTCCGATAGTTATCATTAAATACTGTCAAGCGATAATCAGACTGTCGTCTTACAAGAAAACACTGATGTTCATATTGTCTAATATATGAAGGTGAAATGAACGATGCATATATAGACAATCTTGCTGATGACAGTCAGGAGTTTGAGATTGTTTGTATTTCGAAAATAAACAATTTTTTTCTTTATTATGAAATTTGTTTTGTATTGATAACAAAATAATAAAAAGTACGCATAATAAATCAAGAAAAAAAGAATTGTTATTTGAATAAAAAGAAACGATTGTAGTGCGAGACTTTTCGAATTTATCATTATTAATGAGCTTTCAGAAAACAGTTCAATTGGATGAAGTATGGTGGATGCTTTTACATATAATGTGCTAAACCAAAACGATTCAAAGAGAATGTGGGTGTGGTTAAACAGAATACCAATATCTATACGCACTCTCTTCTTGATATTATTAAAAGTACTGGTTATAAATGCACGTTTTAATCCAGATTTGTGCAGCTTTCTCTTAGGCTTCAACGACATGATTTAAAGGTCAGAGACCAATAAGTATGGTTTTCCTAGTAAAAGGAGGAAGAATGGCAACAGAAACGACATTGAATGACATCATCAACCAGATTTAGACTATTCTAAATCTAAAACATTGTAAAGCCTTTCTTGAAATTTCAATGGCTGAAGTATATTTGTGAAAACTTTAATCGACTTATTTACTAGTTAAATCAATGATTGAAATCATAATAAAACACACAATATGAAATACAACTCAACAAGCCAAACAGAAATTAGAGCACAAATGCACAAAATAAATGAGACTGATGGTTTTCGTGAAAATTGATTATCTTTTGCAAACAATAATAACGTTCACTAGAGATATTTTACTTAACCTATTTTGTATTAGTATATGCAGGTAAAATTTAATGACAATCTATTCTCATTGGTTTAGAAAATTTAGATCCAATTGTCATAACAGAGACCGATTCTAGTAAAAAAGTAGATAAATGAATTCTTGTTGATATGTTTTCATTTTATGAATCGATATTTTTAGTCTTTATTGAGGGTGTGGGTATAGGTGAGAGAGTGTATATGATCCATCAACACATCCAAACAACATCTACATCCACACCAAGACGATGATGAGATCGTATTTTGAATGTGTGCAAGTAAGTCAGCATATAATTTTTCCAGATTCGATTCATTTATGAATGCCTGTTCAAATTGACGTCATTGTTCGATATTAGTTAACTAAAATAAGTAGAATAGATTTTTTTGATACAATTAATATTTGCAGATTTTCTTTTATAATACCTGAGGATAATATTCTCGATCAACAATTATCTAATTCTTCAAAATGAGCACTGAAACGTGATAACGTCAATTAAAACCTAAAAAAGTGAAAGATATACTATATTATCTATGAGAATTCTTTTGACATTTCATGGCAAAACTTGTTGATTTTGTTTTGATCGTGATTTCTTCGCAATTATAACAAAGAGTTTTTCTTTAATTAATGTTCTACTATTTATCTTTTCCAAATAAATTTTAATCGTGCGTGTAAGTCTTGATAATTTTTAAAAAGAAAACCAGGAAGAACTTTTCACCATAGGTGAAAAAAACTAGCTCATCTAACAGCTCAAATACGACTTCATTATTAAATCATCAGTATGAAATATCAATAGAATTTTTTTTCTTTAAAGATTAATATAAAGAACTAAGAAAAAAAATCAGCAAGGATAAATGATTTAAGTAAATACTTACAAAGCATCAGCAATTGTATGTGATGGACATGCACTTAACATAAGATAAGCTAATCCCCATATAGCCATACATATTAATTTTCTTTGTGCAATATTTGTAATTGATAATAAAGTCCATTCATTAACTTTAGCTGAATGACGTGCATTCATTAAAACACGAAAAAAAGCAAAAATTGTATATGCAAGTATTTGAAGATATAATTGTTGTGTTGATGCAACAAATTCAAAAAACCATTTTATTCATTAAACGATTCAATAAACCAATATTTACAAGTAATAATGGTGATGGACGTAATAAAAGTATGAAGCTTCATATGATAATGTTGATGATTGTTTAGTACGTTGATATAATTCTGCAACAAGTTCAATAAGAATATTATCTGATGATGATATTATTGATGAACTATCAATTATTTCTTGTTCTTCATTAACATGTTCATTATTTAATGAATTTGTATTTTCATTTGATTGTTGTAATAATGTATAAATACGTGCAAGTATTAAAACAAGATAATCAATTGACTTATTATTGTTATTGAACGTTCATATAAACGCCATATATCATTTTTGGGATATTTACCAAACTATACAAGTCTTTCCAGACCAATTGATATAATTTTATTTTGTTAAATTATCATCTTTAATTAATGATAATAAAATATCATATAAATTTAAATTATTATTTTATATATCATTATTTAATTCTTATATTATATAATTTATTTAAACCAGCTTCATCACTTTCAAGTAAAAATAAACATGATGCATATGCATGAATTTTAGTTAATTTAAAATTGTGTTCAATTAAACGTATATATAATTCATTATATTCTGTTGTTGTTTGTCCAAGTAATATACTAGATTTACATAAATTATAACTTATTAGTAATATCATTACATCATCTTCATCACATAAATCATATAAATATGATTGATGGAAATAAATCAGATAGATATATAAATGAACCTATTAATTCATATTTTAATTGACTACTAAAAATTATTTGAATTTTGTTGTTAACCAACGAACATATAGTTCAATTAAAATTTCTAATGATGATGTTAAATCAAGACTATGACGAGAAAATAAACTCTAAATTATATATTTTTAAAGGTGGATGTTCATACTCGAATTTTCTGATTGATAGAAAATATTTCTCATACTTTAGACTTTATTAATAGAATACAAGACGTAATTATAATATATTTGAAATTATTGATATAATCTTTTATCTATATGAAGTAAGATATTTTGTATATATAATAAATCAAATCAATGTCAGAGAAACACTAGATTTTTGTTTGAAGAAATTAATAATTTAGCAATGAATTTGTCTTTCTCTTAACTTAGATTTCTGTATAATAAAGTTTAAAATTCTTTTGCTAACCTTTTTTTCTACACTTATTAACTTTTAATGGTAATTTCGTATTACTTTGAATTGATGTTAATATAGCATCATATGAAAGTTGTCCATAGGATAATAAATCACGTGTATCTAATCGTTCAATAAATTTGAACTTGTATCTAATGTTGAACGTGTTTGCATATATTGATCATTGATAAAAAAAGAACAGGTAAAATCTATTTTATTTTTCGATCTTGTTACCATTGTGTTGCATTTCTTTCTAAATTTTTTCTTTTATTAAATTATTTGTTGTATGTTCATTTTCATCATTATATTGATTTGTGGTGGATTAATTGAACGCTAAAAATGAAACCTATATTTCTTGAAATTGTATTCTTAATAATCAACCAACTCCAAAATTGTCTTGATATACGTATACATGAATTAAATATTGGTAAACAAAATAATAATAATATAGCTATACAACGTAGATCATGTCAATAAATATATGATATATATGTATATTTAATTTTTCTTGTTAAATAATAAAGATGACCAAGATCATTAACTAATAAAAGTAATAATTCTATAAATGGTCTATTATCTGGTCCAATTAAATTTAAATATGATTATAATAATTGATTTATTTATTTGATAGAGTTCAGCCATGTTGTTGACAAAGATATTCAAATATTGATAATAGCGTTTTCGATAATGTACACCATGATATTATTTGATCTGTTTCACAACTAAGAAATGATTTCTTTTTGAAATATATATGTATATAAATTATTTCTGATATAAATATTATAAAACGTAATAAATCACGTATATCAGTTGTTGAAAACTGACATATTAATTCAACATGATTTTGTATTCTATCAAAATACATTGATATAGAATCTATTAATGCAATTGAATATGGTTGATTATTAGAAGCATGATAAAAGACTTTTTACATAAATTGTATTAGGTGTTGTTTCAATATCATTTAAATTTGTTTCATTTGATATTAATCGTTGTGTTGATAAAATACTAAGGATAATACAATGAGGCATTTGATAACTATATAAAATCCTAGGAAAACAAAAAAAGAACAGATTTAAATTGTTTCTTATTTTCTCAAATCAATTTTCATCTACTATAAGAATCATTCTAAAAATGTTATGCTATGAAGAAAACCCAATAGGCTCGCGAAGTCCTGGAATTCAAACCTATAGAAAGTTTGCCGAAATTCTCGAATGCAATTTTATCGTTCGAGAAAGACTTCGCGATGTTTTATAAAACTCAGCAGCTGTTTTGAAATAGACTTCCTTCTATGGAAAAAACTTGAAATGAATATAAGATGAGCGTCACTGTTACATCCACAGTCATCCGTTCATGATATTTGTTTAGAAGAATGTTTCATAAACTTGAAATTTCTGATTTCTAAAAATTATTTTGGGTTGAAAATAACACAATCGAAAACATCTTATGAGATATCTTTACAACTATTTATGATTATTTTCTTCATTAGTCATTTCATAGTATTAGAAAGACGTCGTTTTCTTTAGTTGTAACAGTACACATAGCATGACTCAGCATTTGACGAATGAGATCCAAGACAAATACTTCGATCATTATACTAATGTAACTTAAATGCTTTCCTTTACGATTCCTGAAATTTTGTATTTTTTCTTTCTTACCTATGTAATTAAAACTCGTTCTTCTTTAAATGTAAGTACAGTAGACCGACTAGTTTTATAATTCAAAATGTTTTTCGAAATTTTGAATTATTCAAAACTCTTATCTATTACTAACACGTAAATAATGTCAAAGTAAAACAAAGACTTTTCCTTTAATTGAATTAAAATATTCATTATGCATATTTATTTCGATAAATTAAATCTAAAACATACTGATATCATCATAAATGGCAATTAAGTATAAAATCTTCATCATGACAATTAAGATTATTAAAATCTTAAATAATATCGATTAATATTGCTGTTGATAATATTTGTAAAATTAATGGTAAATATTTCTGTAATAATTATTTGCTTAATGTTTGTTGGTCAAGTGTTAACATCATTTCAATATGATCATAAACAATTAATTCAGTTAAATGTAATACAGATATATATATGGTAATAGAAGAAATTGTTCAATTAATAAAACTAATAAAACTAATAAAAGGTCACTTTTATCTAAATGTATTCCTTCACAAACGAATCAATGACTTGCAACTGATGTACGATGTATCAGACCAAATTATATAGATGTGTACATGTATCACTTTGTTCAAATAAAAAAATAACAATAATTGATAATGTGTTGTTATTGATGTTAAATGTTCAACATATAATTCACGATGACATATTAAATCACAATAAGATTCTAATTGACTATCTATTGATGTGTTATTAAGGATGATGGTGTTAATATTGATGACGACCATGTTTCTTGTGTATAATTAAGTATATTCAGAATTTATGTCCATTGTAATAATAATGGTATATAAATTGATGATAATAATTGAAAATATTTATTTAAAATAATTAAATATGCAAATGTATCAAGACGATGTACAGTTTCATCATGAATTCGTAATTGACGAAAATTATTTACAATTGTTCGAAATTGTTTAACTAAAATAAAATTATTGATCTTATAAAAGCATTGGAATTTTAAAGTCAAATGTTTTTCGCCAGATCATTAGTTATTAATGAATTGCAGGAAAGTTTTATCTTCAAATTAATGGGTGATATGATACTATCATATAGATTATGATGAAAGCTTAAAGTCTTTTGACTTTGATAGAAACCAGTTTTTATCTGTTCAATTAGTTTCTTCTTCCTAAAGTTTCAAACCGAAATTTTTAAATCAATCATTTCGGTGCTCGTTACAAAGATGACGACTTCATTGTTTCGATTGATTACCATTTTCCATAATATACATAAATAAATAGCGATAATCGGATGCAAGAGAAACTAATATCATATTGATTTGACCGCGTAATTGTCGAGTATTAGTTAAAATTTGTAATACAACATCATGTAAAATATGAAGAAGAGCCCTGAAAACAAAATGAGAATAATAGTTTTTAAGTTACAAATAAAATCATTTTGAATACTTACACACTAAACATTTCATCTCGTGTTAAATTAACTGATGATACAACATCATTCCATTGTGTTAATTTAGCGTCTTCAGTTGAATTTTGTACAAGACATCGAAGTATCATGTTCATATTCATTAACCATCGATTTATAGTTTGACGATTGATATCCTAAAAAACAAAATATTAAACTACAGGAAAATTTTATAAATAAAAAAACAACGAACATTTCTATTTACTAATGCTCGAAAAGCAACAACAAATGGATCACTTGGTGGCAATTCAACTAACGATACAACATTAAAAAGTGTTAATTGTATAGAAGACATATCCAAAAGTGATTGACCCTATCTGAAAAAACAATAATGTAAAATCGGAGATTATTAAAAAAAGAAAAATAGCCTTAGATGAACCAATAGTAACATATGATTGTAAATGAACAAGTACATCGATAATTTGCCATGAAACACGTTTTCATTTATAATCTTCATTTCGAACACTATTAACAATCGTACAGTCTATCTATGATATCTGAAACCTTCTTGAGAGACACCTTTTGTTCACAATCATTTAATAAAAACTTTTAGGAATTTTCATTTTTCGTATAGCAACTATTTCTTATAATATTACATTACTTTATTATATCGAATACGTTTAAATAATGTTTGAATAATAACCATTCGTTGTGCTTCTAATTCTTAATTATTTGTTTTAAATCAAACTTTATTTTTCTCGAGAATGATTTTTTTTGCTTCTCTCCCATGTGTTTCAGGTTCATGTTCCCTTGCAAATAATATGAATCATAATGTTTTATTAAATCTTGTACTTTAATAATTTGTTGTGAATGAAGTGTACCATGTGATAATACATCATAACCTGCTGTAGTATCTTCAATCATTTCAAGTTGATTGATTAGATGAATAAGAAAATACTATTTAAAAATAAACGAAACGATTAGAAATATAACGAACTTCATCAGCATCTGTATTGCACTATTTTCTTTGGATTGATCACTATTGATACTTGATACATGACGTGAATCAAATAAATAAAACATCAGTTGTCGAATAGTCATTGCATTAATATTAGTTGAAGTATTATTTAATGGTTCTTATGAAGAAACATTTGAAGATTTTGTTTCAGCAGAAGATGGTGAAATGATTGCTAGTTGATGAAGGTTTAATACAACCTAAATTAAAAGAATATTTTCAAACTTCGAATTGATAGTGTATCTTTCAGATCGCTCAAGTAAATTAGATGATTTAATATTCGGATTTCAAGATAGACCCAAATCAAAAGATCTGACACTTTCACAATAAACTACTCTCATTACGACTGTCGACATTTTTATATAGAAATTTTCTTTCTCTAGGTTAGACCCTGCCAGAAATCTTAATTATAAGATTTCTATCTAAAGTTTTGCCCGTAAACATGTGTCAGATCTAATAGAATATTCTAAAGATTTTAGCTCAATCAATGAATAAAAAATATCAATAATTGAATTTTTCATTACAATAAATATTTACTATTTAAAAGAAGTTACCTTCTGTGTGCATTGAATGTTGATTCCAAATGTTTTGATAAATCTTGTGTAGAAATAAGACTTAAAACTGATTTCATAGACATTAATGTTGTTGAAAATAATTGTTCAAAACGATCATTTTCCGATGAATTTCATCATTGATGGATTATTTCCATAAATACCAAATTGTGTAACATTAAGTCTTGTTTTTAAATCTTTGTCCGTATTTGATGTTATTAATGAATCTTTATTGGATGTCATTGAATTTGTATGATTAATATTATTTGGATCTTTTCCATTCGCTTTAAAAATTGAGGTGATGCAGGAATAGGTAGAAAATTTATTTTTGATGCTTGTGGATTTTATGGACTTGCATCTTCAACAACACCAGCAAACGTAGATAAAATATGAAAAATAATTTCTGCTGATTGAATACCATTCATATCATTTGCATGATTTGATAAGCCTTGATATAAAAAGAAAAAATTCAAAGAAAAAAACATAATAAAAATTTTTTTTTTTCTCTTTACTTGAAAAGATTAAATTAATAATATCGAGTAACAGTTCTAAATTGTTAAGATCATGTAATATAAATGGATTTTTTAAGAAATGTATAAGTAAACGAAGTTCATCATACTGGTTATGAAATAATGTTAATAAACTGGATATTGTTTCACATTGTATTTCATCATTGGATATGATTACAAAAGTATTTGTTTGTTATAATCAATGATGCATTTTATATATCCATTGACATGGTAAAAACGAACTGTGATCAACAAATCTTAAAATCGACTTATGTATTCAACGTTACCAAAAATAACGTTCTCGATAGAATCAATTCATTATGAAAGTGTCTGATCTTCTCATATGTTTCATCTTCATATAAACAAATATCTTTGAAAAACAAAAACAAATAAAATATTGATAATGAAAAAAAGAGGAGGCTACTTTTTTAACCTAATCTTGAACTGTCTTGTAAATCAATTGATACAAGTGAACATACATTAATAAAAGAATCATTAAATGAATTTGATAATAATAATATTGTTCAAAGATGAACTGTTGTTTGAATTAATTTAGCAAGTAAATTTGCACATGCACCACGTAAATGTGGATCACCATGTTCACGTACAGATAAAAGATGTAATACCTTAAACAAAAGCAAAAAAGACATATAGATGATTGATAGATTTTAATATATTACAAGTAACATAGAAATTGGAATTTCATTTTTCTCATTAAGCAATTTCATATCCCTTACAAAATTATATTTAATCAGAAACGTTCAAAGACTAAAGAAAAATTCCTTAGAGGATGCAATTGGTATCATATCATAATGAAAAAAACGAACATCTCTTTCGTACTAAATATGCACAGAACTCGTATTTCGGCTTAGAACTTTTTCTGATGTAATTGTATGGTTCTATTATTTCAATCTCTGATGTATAGATGTATAAGGGCAGCCTGTGGAGTTCAAAACTATTCAATAAAATGTTCTATTTGATATCTTTTCGAGTCTGATAATGTTCTAGTCATTTATTGGTTTCCAAAAAATTAAAAGTAGGAATAGGACTAGAACTGCTGAATCAATACCGAGAAATCTTCATTCTTGAATTTTCAGATTCTAATGTGTTTCATGTCGTTTTGTTTCAACAATTTAATAGTGAAATTGTCATATCTATCACTAAAACTTTGAGACTTTAACCAATTAAAGTGACATCAACTAAACTCTGCCACAAGCTTCTTTACCAGATTGATCCCATTCACCTAAGCCCTCCTACTGTTACAACATTAGAAATAATTTTGAATTACAAAATAAATCTATTTTACTGAAGTGAAACTTTACAAAAAGAAGCTTCTAACAAACATTCAACATACTTTCAGTAAAGATAACCAAATGTATGAAATTGTTGATAAATACGATAAACATAGTAGTGTAGCATATTTCATACTAATACGTGATTCATCGTCACTTTTTATTGTACCATCCATATTGAGGATGTATGTAATCGGAAAATATAATTGATCAACAAGTTTAGCAGCTCATGTTCGCTCTTCATTATTAATCATTGATGTTGAATCGAATTCATCATTCATTTTATTTACTAGAATAAGCTATTGTTTTAGAAAAGAAAAAATAAAAGAAAATTCTTGTTTTTTTCTCTCAATATTTGCCTGTTTTTAAGGCTTCACTAACACAAGTTTTTTCTATAGATCCAATTTAAATTGAAATTAATAATTGATCAAAATCAAATAAATTTTAATAACGAAGTAATTGAATAAGTATTTTTAGTAAATCAAAATAATCAATTATTAAACGTGTACTAGCATTTTGATTTTGATATGGAAATCACATACATGTCAAACGTGAAAGTTGAATTCAACTATTCAAATTCTATTTCAAATATTCAATTATTGAAAACTTGAAGTTCAAATATTCAAATATTCAACTTTTGGATATTTGAAGTTCAAATATTCAAATATTCAACCTTTGTATATGTGGCATCACGCGATCAGATGTGGGTGCCGCGAAAGGACTTCTAGGGAGAAGAACATTCATCTCACTACACGCACATATCACGCGACCAGATGTGGGTGCCGTGAAAGGAGACATTTGAATATTTGAATATTTGGACTTCAAATATCCAAAAGTTGAATATTTGAATATTTGAATATTTGAACTTCAAGTTTTCAATAATTGAATATTTGAAATAGAATTTGAATAATTGAATTCAAATTTCACGTTTGACACTACTGATCAGTCAAAAGTCATAATAAATCAGTTGATTTTTTGTGAGTTTCGACGAGTGCAAGTGGCTATTTCCGATTCTTTGTTATTTTGAATAATTTCTACTTATGTTCGGCGACTTTTCATTTTGTCAAACTCACCCTAACTCTGACAAATGCATAAATCGCTGTTTCTCCTTGTTAAAAATTATTTCGAATTCAGTTCATAAAATCTTTTTTTGATCTCTTTTTGCCACCGAAGGCAACGAGGGCTCATGACCATTGTTAATCAATTTTAATTATAATCAGAATCGATAGTCCACTGTTAAGCTACTTCGAAATTTGTAGGATATTCGAGGTTTAAGTCACTAAGTCAACTGTGCCTTCGAGTGAGCGTTTTTTCAACCTTTTTGTCGTTTTTGATCATCAATAAAAGCAATTAAGTTGCGCTTCGCTGTTTTAGAATTTACGTATACACTAGGGAACTGTGTTGTCAAAAAGATTCAAAGTTTTCTGAAGAATTCTCGATTTGCCATATGTAACGACCAACTTTCAATAATTTCTTTTGCTACCTCATTGAAAAGATAGCTGTAGTAGTTGAAATAGTTACAAATTCAAGGAAATTATGATCGAACTCTTTCGAAGTTTACTAGAAGGGTCGCAAGCTCCTACAACTGCGAGAAAGAGGAACTCCAATCATTGATATGAAAACAAGAGACTTGTGAAGTCAAAATCTCTGAACTACAGAAAAATGAATTTACTATGTCTTTCCTAAAAAAAAGACAATGAATCAAGACTGTTCACGAAAATAAAAGGTAGTCCAATACATAATGTCTTCAAATTGGAAAAAGTTGTAACTGAACAGTGTTAAATTTGGAGAAAGTTAGGATTAATTTCTTTCACATTGGGGGAACATAAGAGTTAAATTATCCCAAATTGGAAAAAATTGTAACCAAAACTTCTCAAAGTAGGAGGAAGTCCTTTGTCAACCGCTCGTGTTGCTCTTGGCTATAACATATATTTTATTTCTTTGTTAGATAGAATTGCGCTGTTACATTATTCACAATGCTTGAATTCATCCATGCTAATACTTATACACTTCTAGTGAATGTATTTGGTTAAAAAATATGTAGAAGAAGAAAGATTACAACATATCTATAGATAAACATGGTATAATATTAAATATTCGCAACAAATAAAGCCAACTTATTTTCAAATATATCGGTATCTTTTTTTCTATTCGAACTCAATTTTTCAGGAATGAGGTAATCAATGACCTCTTTCCAGTATAGAAAACAGGCTAAGTACAGTAGATACAAATTCTGTAGAATTCAATTATTTTGTTGTACAAAAGATAAAAAATAGTAATAAATCCTACATTTTGTCGACGAGAGAGAATGATTTACATTGTTTTAAATCACACAAACTCAATTTAGATCACTAAACTCAGCTAAAGTCATTTTAAATCACCAAACTCAAAACTCGTAGTTTTTCCCTTGAGTTCCACAGTTTTAGATCTGAAGAATTTATTGGATCATGTCTCGTCTGAACGAATTCATTTGTTTTTCTTTTTAAAGAGAATGATAAAGATTTATCAACAACATCAAATACAACAAACACAGACAAAGATAAAAAAAGTTAATCGTACACAATTAGGTACGTTTAGAAATAATCTACATAAGATTTATCAAAAAATTTGGAATCAACACTCAATGTACACAAGAGATAACCTCTTTTAAATAGTAAATGTATAAGAATGTCATAGTAACAGAAAAACTGATTTTGCGAATATCGATGATCTTAACGAGAGTAGTTTATTGCGAAAGTGTCAGATCTTTTGATTTGGTTCTATCTTGAAATCCGAATATTAAATCACCTAGTTCACGTGAGTGGTCTGTAAGACACACTATTACCAAAATTGTATCTTTGGATAGAAGCAGCAAAAAAGTTTGAAAACCAATTTTTCTGTTACCACAACATTCATTTAAAAATATTCTTTTTATTTAGTTTTTATTAAATCTTTATTAACTAGTAATCGTCTCATCATCGTCTGCTATAACAAAATCTTCAAATATTTCTTCAACTTATATTCATGCAATTCGTGTTAATTATAGTTGATTAGATGCTGATGAAGTTCTTTGTGTCTCTAGTCGTTTCGTTTATTTTTAAATAGCATTTTCTTACTCATCTAATCAATCAACTTGAAATGATTGAAGAAACTACAGCAGGTTATGATGTATTATCACATGATAAACTTCATTGAAAATAAGTTATTAAAGTAGAAGATCTAATAAAACATTGTGATTCATTATTAGCAAGTGGACATGAACCTGAAACATATGATAGGAAGCTATATGATTTTTTTCTTGTTTGAGTTAACGCAGATAATAAAAAAATTAGAAGCAGAGCGAATGATTTTTGTTCACACATCACTAAAACTTGTTCGGTATAATAAAATATTGTCATATTTTAAGAAATAGTCACTATGCGAATAACTGAAATTCCTAAAAAGTTTTATTTAATGATAGTGAACAAAAGGTGTCCTTCTATAAGGTCTCAAATATCATAGAAACTCGAGAGGATGTGAGTGTGTAGGTGTAAGTTTTCTCCTCGATTGAACCCACACCCTCCAGAACTCAACAAGATTTATTGATAGTGTTCGAAATGAAGATGATAAATGGAAACATCTTTCACGACAAATTTTCAATGTACTTCTTACTCATTTAAAATCACATGTTACTATTGGTTCATCTAAGGTTATTTTTCTTTTTTATAATCTTCGATTAAGCGTTACTTTTTCTTTTCAAATAGGGTCAATCGCGTTTGGATATTTATTCGATACAATTAACACTATTTGATGTTGTATCATCAGTGTCTTGTACAAAATTTAACTGAAGATGCTATATTAACACGATGGAATGAGATTTTATCATCAGTTAATGAAACACGAGATGAAACGTTTAGCCCGTAAGTATTCGAAAGGATTTTATTTGTAATTTAAAAACTACTATTCTCGTTTTTCTTTTTAGAACTCTTCTTCGAATTTTAACTGATACTCGACAATTATGTGATCAAATCGATATGACATTAGTTTCTCTTGCATCTGATTATCTTTATGTACTTATGCATATTATGGAAAATGGTAATGAATCAAAATAATAGTATATGTGTAGACATTGATATGATAGTCCAGCAATAGGAACATCAATTTTAGTTGAAATAGTCATCTTTGTAACGAAAACTGGAGTGATTGATTTAAAAATTTCGGTTTGAAACTTTAGGAAGAAGAAACTAATTGAACAGATAAAAACTGGTTTCTATCAAAGTCAAAAGAGCTTAAGCTTTCATCATAATCTAACTATATCTGTATTACGTTGAGCTGAATTAATTGTTTCTCGTTGTATGGAAATGATGTTAATACTTGATCAACAAACATTAAATAAACAATTATTACCTAAATATTTACCATTAATTTTATAATTATTATCAATAACAATATCAATCAATATGACACCAAAAATTTATGAACAAATGCTTAAAAATGTAACTTATAAAAAATGATTACCAGTTATGAGGTCACTGGTATGTTTTATTTCCATTGATCGAAATAAATATATATGTATAATGAAAATTTCAGTTCAATTAAAGAAAAAAATGTTTGTTTTACTTTGACATTGTTTATGAGTTAGTAATAGATGAGACTTTCGAATAATTCGAAATTTCGAAAAGTATTTCGAAGTATAATACTTATCGATCTACTGTACTTAAATATAAAGAAGAAGGAATTTTTATGACATAGATAAGAAACACAAAATGTAGAATTTCAGGTAATACGAATCATAAAGGAAAGCGTTTAAGCTACATCAGTATAATGATCGAACCATTCATCTCGAATCTCATTGGTCAAATCTAGCTAAAGAATTGCAACTCAAACTAATTTTTAAAAATCAGGAATTTGAAGTTTATGACATGTTCTTCTAAACAAATATCATGAACCGATGGCGAAGGATGCAACAATAGCGTTGATCTTATATTTATTTCGACTTTTTCGGTCGAAAACAGTCTATTGTTTTAAAACTCAGCTATTTTCTTGCAATAGTCTCTCTTACTGAAAAACATCGAAATTCATTCAAGACTATCATTCCTTTCTTTATCACACATTCACTAGATTACCATACGCTTATCAACGTTGTATCGCATGTTTAAGTCATTGTTTTGTTCTATAGCATAGAATTTTTAGAATGATTCTCATATAAATGAAAATCATCCCAGAAAATAAGAAACAATATATTTTTTTTTTCTTTTAAGAACTTCGAATCGTTATCAATACATCATTTGCCTTGTTCTTAGTATTATTATTCCATGATTATGGCACGGATCAGTAGGTGCATTATTTTAAACAATCAATCATCTATGTTTTTCGTTACGAACACAGCGATTAATATCAAATGAAATAAATTTCAATGATGTTGAAACAACATTTGATACAATTTTTAGAAAAGTCTTATTATGTTTTAATAATCAACCATATTTAATTGCACTAATAGATTCTATATCAATTTATTTTGTTATAATACAAAATTATGTTGAATTAACATGTCAATTTTCAATAGATGATACACATGATTTATTACGGGGTGTGGGTGTGAGTGTTCTCTTCATCCACACACCCACACCTACACCCACTTCCTATGATTTGTGCATGAAAATAAATGATTCCATTTGTTCAACCTTATAATGTAATAAGAGAACAATTTGCATTGTATTTTGAACTATAGATCTCAAGTTCCTCTATCTATTTCAAAGGTCAAAAATCAAAATTTCACTTACGAGGGAACCACCCGAGGTGCCCAACTCCGATTCCCTTCATTCATAGGCCGTTTGATA